ACCATGTCTCACAGAAATATATAAATATAAGCAAATACGAAAAGGAAACGATTGCACACGTTGACATAATAGAGACATAAAATTCATTCAAGACGAATATTTCTGACACGCATGTGTCCTTCTTTAGCGTTAAACATACGGCGGTCTAAGCCGTCCTAATATTTAAAGACTACTCCGAGGAGGATTAAAACGGTCTTAAATCATTTTTACCATGGCGTTACAGGTAGTCCTAGATCGTCAAAGACTAAGTATCGAATGATGAATATTCCGCAAGCTTCCCAGCGTCTGTAAAAATAGGCTCCCAGTGGGAGCGTGTGTCTACTGCCTTGTAATGGAGTTTTTGTTTTTGAATTTAATCTTATGTTCTTCAATATGCAGATGTGTGTATTATTGTAGTGTATTTGGAATTTTCATGAACATTTTCTTTCATAAAAATATTCTGTATACTACTGTTGTATTGTATTACACTAAAAATACTTTAAAAAAATAACTCTTCGAGTTACCGCGTTATGTCGTTGATTTTGAAAAGTACTACCATTTTCTAGAGGGCTTCCTTTAAATGCCGGTAAAAGGCGTTCGTGGCGAACACGTGCTGCGTCTCTATAACGTATTCGAGTTTCGAACGCAATTTTGTTCGAGTTCTGAACGCTATTCGATTTTTAATAGAGCGCTCCCTACCTAGTGGTAGTAGTACCCATCATTCCTCCACCGGATGTGACCTTTTCCGCATCTTTAATTGCTAATCATGACGTAGTGTTTATGGCCCTCGATGGGGGCAGTAGACACACAAAAAGAAAACTGGTCTACGTTTATTTGCGTTCATTTTGATAATATGCATGTTTTACAGTATGTTACTAGGGAGTGCTTGTTTGCGTTTTGCGGTCTAAGCGAAGACCGTGTTATAGCAACAGTAACTTAGCAGAGTAACTTTAGTAAGACGTTCTAAGTGATAAAGCCTGCTTTATTCGAGAAGAATTACCGTACCAGTTAAGACCGTTTTATAGCAATCCGCCTCTGGACCGATTTACTTCATATTTATACACATTAAACCCAATATTACATGTATATCGGTCCTCCTAAAATTTGGTACTGATCGGAAGCAAGTAGCCTGGGTTCCAGGCCCTAATTTTGAGTTACTCACTCTTTATTGCACTTAGTGCGCGCCATACCTAATTTAATTGGCGTCCCATACTCGATTCCTTTTTTTTTTTTTTTTTTTTTTTTTTTTACAAAGCACTCACAAATCATAGCCGTCGTTCGGAATAGAAAAATAATAAAAAATATGAGACTTGTGGCAAGTCTAGGAAGCAAGGTGATTTTAGAATGTTATTTATATATTTTCTGGCCGCAAACAGACGACAGAACCAACTTGACCGGATCGTTTGTTTGGTCGCGCCGACTCTAGCGGACGTACCGCTGGCCGACTGGAGCAGATCGACCGTGTGTCAAATTCTGGAAGCGGTCCACAGACGGCGTGCAAACTCACCCGATTGACGGGCTTGCACACGCGAGGCAAATAATCGATAGGCCGCGATATAGCACAACACGGGAAGGGTTTGTAATCTCAGATTATCTTGATTGTCATTGCAGATCGTCCTCTTCCAATTCCAGTATCCGATAGATACAACCAAGGCGACATGGAGTACGCGTACCCTACAGTGACCTTTGTCAGCACCACAGATAGTAACGGTCCCGAGAAGACGAATAGAGCTGTTGAGAGATCTGCATCGAGGCCGCCAGAAATACCGGCTCGTCAATATGATACGGACGATGACTTACAGTATATGCATATTGGCGAAACCGTCATTGAACATCAGCAAGCATTGATGCAGCGACAACCACAAGGTAACAATCTACAGATGCATCCGTACCTTGAACTGGAGGACATTCCTCCTACTGATGGAAAGTATCAAAGACCCATGAGCCATACATACGCAGATTTGGACAACGTCGCACGCAGAAACGAAGAGGAGTATTACCGACCTGGTGCTCAAACAATGTTCAAACAAAATGACCTGGACAAGCCACAGACCTGTTACATGGGCCTATCCAGCACCACTAGGTCCAACATGGACGTATCAGTTTATAAAGGGCTGCGGCATGGTCATTTAGTATCATCTGGTTGTACGAGGGAGGGTTGTGAAGATTGCGAATCTGCCCATCTAAATCCAAACAGTAGAAATGAAATGGGTGACCATGAAAACACTAATGTTGCGCATGATGTCACAACAAAAACTCCGCAATCTCCGTGCTACGAACAAAGCCTAATAATGGAACCAGCTTTCTACATGGCTGTAGAAGGGAGATCTCAAGGCTCGTGCGAAATTGGCGATATGGCGAAGTGTTTTGAAGATAATACGTATTCGTTTTTAAAATGAGTGCATAGCGATGCCAGGTGTACACTCATACATTATCAGTAGGCTGAGAATTGATTTGTTACTATAGTCTGTAATATCTTTGCAAATTAGAAAAGTGTCTTCATTAGAATGCAAATCTTCTCAAAAAAGAATATTCTCTAAATGGTGAAGTGTAACCAAACATAACTAATAGTGTGCTACAGAAACAACTATTTAAATTATATTCCTATTCTCATGTTATTCAATGTTTTGGTATAGCGATAAATTTATGTAAATATATATCTCTCCTTATTAAAAAAAATACAACTAATATATTCCTTTACAGGTAGCATTATTTTATTATACAGTAGAGTAAAGAATAAGCGGGAATGTGATATTAATTAATCTTATTTTGCCTTTAACAACAGCTTCAACATGTTTCATTTGAATGTATACATTTTTTTGTAAATAAATGTATATAATAATGGACGAACTATATTGCGGGCTCATCTTGTATACTACTACTACACTGTTATTTTGAAGGAGTTATTTTGACTCCAAAGGAGTTATTCTGTACCTAAAAAAAGGTACAGAATAACTCCTTTCGAGTTAAAATAACTGCTTCAAAATAACAGTGTACTACTGCTACTGTAATTACTGCTGCTACTTCTACTACCGCTACTGCTGCTGCTATTGCTGTTGCTGATACTACTGTACTAGGCCTACTTATATTTTGTTTTATTTCACTCGCATCCAACAGCGAGTAACTCGCCATGGCCAGTTACGGGAGGGTGTCTATAAAACGAAGACCGAAGGCCGAAGACCCAAAAACGAAGACTCCTATTTTTTCTCTTTTATTTTAATGATAATACGCCAGGCTATCACAAAATCAAAATTACGATTTTTTTTGGGCGTGTGTTTGTGAAATTTTAAAGGGTCTTCGATTTATAGTCACCCATGGGGGTCTACAAAACGAAGACCGAAGATCCGAAGAACGAAGACCTCCAATTATTTCTCAATTATCTTATTGAAAGTATTTCAAAATCATCATAAAACAGTTGCCAAGTTTCTATTTCATTATTTCATCACGATTGAGAGAAAACAAATGTGGGTCTTTGTTTTTCGAGTCTTCGGTCTTCGTTTTGTAGACACCCATATAGGGTGTCTATAAAACGAGGGCCCTTCATTATCTCATCCATCCTATGTTTGTGTCACTACCGAATGACAGATGCTGCACATATGCGTCACTATACAGCATTCCTGAAGTTTATTTAACATAGAACAAGTTTATGAATGAAATATTCAAGGTTTTTGTAGGCCTCCAAAATACGCGTACCGCTAGGTCAAGCCCTACTTTCGTTTAGAGGGTAGCAGCGCCAAGAAGCGCTCTGCCACCAGCCGTGGACGTACAACATTGGTTGCCGATTTGGAGCTGGAATAAAGAGTAGATCATTAAATTGGCTCAGATTGAGGCAATAATGTGTTAAAAAAGACGAATACTATAAATACATAGCATGAAGTGAAAATTTCACAAACAGACGCCCAAAATTTTTTTTAAATTTTAATTTTGTGACAGCCTGGCGTATTATCATCAAAATAAAAGAGAAAAAATTAGGGTTTTCGTTTTTGGGTGCTCGGTCTTCGGTCTTCGTTTTATAGACACCCAGTTACGGGATGGATGATACTTTATAAAGTAAGTCTCTTTTCCACACCTTATTTTGTATTGTTAAGTCATCATGCTCTTTGTTTTATAATTTCATGTAAAGCGCATAAAGGCGATGTGTATAAGAGACAGGGTGAAGTGTAACCAAACATAACTAATAGTGTGCTACAGAAACAACTATTTAAATTATATTCCTATTCTCATGTTATTCAATGTTTTGGTATAGCGATAAATTTATGTAAATATATATCTCTCCTTATTAAAAAAAATACAACTAATATATTCCTTTACAGGTAGCATTATTTTATTATACAGTAGAGTAAAGAATAAACGGGAATGTAATATTAATTAATCTTATTTTGCCTTTAACAACAGCTTCAACATGTTTCATTTGAATGTATACATTTTTTTGTAAATAAATGTATATAATAATGGACGAACTATATTGCGGGCTCATCTTGTATACTACTACTACACTGTTATTTTGAAGGAGTTATTTATGACGATGACGATGATGACGACGACGACAACGATGACTATGATGATGATGATGATGATGATGATGATGATGATGATGATGATGATGAAAGGGCAGCTTCGGAAATGGATATAAAAACGCTACCGAAAGAGGAGTCTCAATTTGGCTAAATGAATTAATATGAGGTATGTGGTGTACAATTTTTTAGATGAAAATGTACCAGGGGCCAAATATACAACATGTCAGCAGTTTCGATTTCTTAGAATACTTGAATGATTTTGTACAAGGCGCCTTCTTAATATACTCTAAATCAAGTCGGGAAATTACGAGCTCATGTAGCGCCGATAATAATAGGGCAGTGAGCTCAATAAACATCACGTGGTTAAACTTCATCGGCTACAATGACAAACTTGCAGGGCAGCAACTATAACTCGATTAGGCCAACGAAAGTACAAATTATAAACCTATGATATGCCTAGTCGTAAAAAAAATAAAAACTCAATGTTGAATAAACACTACAGTAATTACCTCCACCAACGAAGTTGGCAGGAGGTTATGTTTTTGCCCCTGTTTATTTTAAATTTATTTATATAGTTATTTATATATTTATTTATTCATTTGCTGTGAAAACTTACTTAGTTTTTATCACAAATTCGTCAAACTTGGCCACTTCGTGAAAACAGTTTGGTGTAGTGGTTAGAAGAGTTTTTTACACTACCGGCCCCGAGTTCAAATCCAATATTGTCTACTTTTTTTCATGGGGACAATAGGTCTATGCGTGGGAAATTTGGGTGTAGGCGTAGGTATACACTCTGCGAGTGCCTCTAGTTCGACATAAAAATACAGTGTATTCTTTTCTTTCCTTATTGTTTGCATACCGGCGCTAATGTGCTTTAGGCGAATTTGCTCAAAATGCATTTTTTTATTACACGCATGGGCAGTTCAATAATTAACTACGAAGTCCTTTACTGCGCATGCTAGGAGCAATAATATTATTCGCACTATTGGACTATCGCACTACTGGATAAAACTTTGTGCCAGTGGATTGCGATATTGAAACGGACTCTGCTATCTACACATGAGAAAAATGTGAAATAAAACTAGAAAGAAAAAAATTGTTTCCAAATAGGCCTACAGAGTATTTAATTAATTTATATTCTGCTATTGCTTCTTTTTGAACTCTTTTCTTTTGTTTTTTGTCAAAGGGCCAGCCGAGACAAGCTCGACTTCAGGTTGGTCCTCATTTATGCCTCGTCTTATATGTATATTTGGCCATTGTGAATTAAGTGGATGATGATTTGATTTGATTAGTCGATTAATGTGTTTTAAATGTTATCATGATTATAAAAATACATAAAATGACGCCGACATTATTATTTTTTAATTACTTTCATATTAATCCTGTGTAATCTTTTCAATAATACCAATAACACATGAAGCAGCAATAATTAGAAAAAGAGTACAAACATTTCATAATGAAAACTGCTCACGGAAAGGTTGACTGCACACCTTAACTCAGTAAATCAGTCAAAACGGGACCCCCTTTTCTCAAAGAATGGACTATACAATTTGAACGATTTCATTTGGCAATCTAAAAAGTTTTGTTTTCTATATGCTTAGAAAGAATGCACTTTCGACGTATATTTCTAAATGAATACACTCTGAATTCATAATTTTTCTCCACTTATACAATTAATAATTTTGTTAGCTGTATTTCTAACCTGAAGAGGTATATTGTTCCAGAGTTTGGACCACTGAATCGAATGTTAAAAACAAGCGCATCAGTACGATGTTGTGGTAAATATAGTTCATTAGCAGATCTGGTAACATGTTACGAAAATTAAAATTATACTACAAATATTCTAATGATCACAACATAAGAACCAGTAACTTAACTGTTCCCTGATAAAAACACAAAACTTGTGTTTTTATCAGGAAACAGTTCAAAATGTTCTTCCTTATGTTGTGGTCATAATAACTGAGTTAGTATGACCACAACGGAAGAGCACTTTGTCACATTCAAAGTTCAGACCCATATAGAGTTTTATTTTTCAAATGTTTAGCATATATGGGTACAGATAATCTTTATTGACTGTCAATCTCATATATCCAAATTTTAGGAAATTACGTTTTATGCATGCACCGACTTGGGAATTTTGTTTTATGTTGTTTGTTGAATAGTTTTCTTTAATAATAGGCCTATTACAGTCTATTATGACATAAGGGACAACAAGGAAGTTCATTTTTAAATGATTAAAATCATAGTATAGAGAATCCAGCTAGGAATGAAATTAAATATGTATAATAATAATTTCATATTTCTAAGAATTGTTTGGAGTATATGACCTCTTCTGATGATAGATTACATCCACAGAGTGCCCCTAAGCCAATACTTTGATAATTGATAAAAAAAAAAAAAAATATAAATTGCGTTTTTCCGAATCACGACAGACTGTGTAGATTACTGGTCTAAATGTAAAAATTTAAGATTTTATTTTTAAATCACAAAATATCACAAATATATATTCAGTACATTCTCGATTGTCTTGGAAATGTGGACCGTGTAAAATTTGGTTGGGTGCGTACACACCCTCTTTAACACCCCACCTACTGGATACAGGTATACGGTCCTCGAAACTTTACATTTTACTTTCCAATTAATACAGTATTATACTCTTATTAATTAGATATCTCCTCAATTTCTCAGTATTTTTCTTTAATTCTTTTCCACTTCCAACGCTGTTTAATTTGAAATTCCATTCATATTGCTGCTCTTCTTCCGATCCCGTATTCATTTTCAGTCTCTCGGTGCTCGGTGATCATTTTTGACTTTCTTTTTAGTATCAAAGTGATGTATCAACGTGTGTTCGTAAGTTTTAAGCTCTAGGTCTACATTTAGGCTACCCACTCCATTAAAGAGTTTTTTTTTATATTTTTTTTTATAGCATTCGTTATAAACAATGAAATATTAATCCAGTAATTTAAAAGTAATAGTTAATAAAAAGTTCTTTCTTTAGTGTAATTTTTGAATAACAAAATATATTAAATTTATATTTGCCTTTTTAAATAATCAACGCACATGTATATCCTCCCTGTGATTGATTGATATGATTAATCATACATTGTGACATAAATCAAAATAATAATAATAAAAAAAAAACTGAGTAGTGTACGTTAGTTATTACAGCACATCACGCATTCGATTTCATTACAGTCCGTTTTTTGAATAATACTTAGACAATGCATAAAGTATTGCATTTATTTTTTCTATATTTCTGTCCTTGGTTTAGGTAGGTGGCATTTCTCACAGAAAGAGTTGGAATTCGCCAGATCACCAGGCAATGCAATCACTTTATATATATATATATACTTATAATAAACTTATAAGTTCCCGGAAATTGGACTCTCATACCTTAAGAACGCATGCAACAGTAATAATTAGAAAGATTACAAACATCTGTTTATAATAAAAATGAAACAATGTGCAACAAGAAATTAAGTTACTTACACATTATCATAATTACAACATATTACGCTTATTTTTAAATTAAAATTTCAATTCTGTCAAAAAAGACATTAAAAATACATCACAAAACGCTACAAACCTTGGAGCGGCAGGGACTTCGCCCTCACAACCCCGTCGGTCATTTGCAGCCCTTTGGCTCTCAGCCCCTGGCTAGGCCTTCGTTACGCCACTGATACTTTGTAGTTCCACATTTACAATTTTCGCAACTCCCCACATGGGAACCACTCTACACCATGGCTGTGGCTAGGGGTGCCTGAATACTACAGCCATAATATATAGACGCTGATTCGAATGGCTCTGGTTGTGGAACAAGTCTTGTAAAATAAGAACTACAAAAAGTTTTTTTTTCAGTTTTTTTGTTTTTATAAACATTATTATTATACGACAACCACACATTCTCACGCAACAGAAAATCGGAATTTTACACATCTGCACTTTTGAACCAGTGCTTTTTTTTTTTCGAGAGGAGTAGCGGGTTAACCCAGTGTACCCATACAGCTCCTGTTCTGTACACTAGTAGCTGAAATCGGTTTACAGAATAGAGTGCCCTAGGGTAAAAGAATGTTCGAACGTCTGAGCTAGTACTCAGGCCTCCAGCGCCTTGGGACTTCAGTACAAAAGCGGTATACAACAAGCTAACAACAAATCACATTACAAAAATATTTTCGCTGTTTCTAAATTATAAAGCTTGGGATTCCCCTGCATTTAATATAAAGTATTCTTGTGTGTCATGACGTCATTTATTTTATGAGAAATATCGAACGATCCAGAATCTCTACATATCAGTGAGATAAATTACTTGGTATCGATTTGAAAGTGTTTTTCCAATTAGTTTATATTGCTTGTTCATATGAAATGCAGAAGTCACTATCCGTCAACCATCATTGCACATAAGAAAGTAGATTCAAGGTGTTGCAATTGCACCTGTATTGACATCGTTAGAACAATAGTACACTACGAAGAGATACTGCATTGTGACGATCATTAGCCGTGTTTAACCCTGTCATGGAACGTAAGTAAATCAAAGTAGCCTCCTGTGTGTAAAAATTAAGTTAGTGATTTTTTTTTACATTAATGACACTTATGACAACCATAAAAAAGAAACTGTAGCTTAATTGCGATTCTAAAATTCACAATCAAGTTTAAAAGTACAATGCATTAGTAATCAACTGTAGTATTGTAGTATTTGGAATCCGGCACTGCAGCTCGTAAAGTACATATGGGATTTTATGGGCTATTGACAGTTTTAGGTAATTTTAACGGTACGATAAACAAATATCTAATTGAGCGTAAGCTAAGTCCGTGTCATTTACAGATACAGTATAATGGCGCGAACAAGCAGATTTCGCAACATTATTATTCAATTTACACTGCAATGATTCTTTTGTGGATTTTCCAGTGACATGTTATAGTTATTTTTAGGCACTAGGCCTAGACACAAAATACAATTTGCAATGGATAAAGAAAATACGATATCTCGTAAGGCCGACCAAGTACGTCAGATTTTTATTTTTTTATCATGATAATATAATAACAAAATTCTGACATATTTATATGAATTATATAATTCTATTTCCATCAAATCTAGCTCTGGAGTTTTACAGTTTTAAATTATTTTCTGTCGGTTTGTGTTGTTGATTTATTCAGACACAAATATGTAATCATGGCGAAACTACAATTTAACAATAGAAAACAAGAGGTTTAATAAAAATGCCACGAAGACGGTCAATGGCAAGAATCTAATAGGCCTATACTTTTAAATTTAATTGATATATTTTATTTATTTTTAAATATAGTTAGTTTTATGTTTTGCAGTCAATGAAAACGAGAATCCCTGTCAATATCCTCCGATTTGTGTTGCGCAAAATTACTTCTGTAACAAAAGATGCTATTTTTAAATACAGAAATAGAAAAGTCCCCATATGATAATGCTGTTCGATTGTACAGCTGCCGGTAAATACAGTGGCGCATATTGGTTAATGAGATAAATCCCGTGCAAAGTCAGTGACGTCATTTCTTTCGTGGGAAAATACGATATCGGCCTATCACGAAATTCCACTACTTCTCAGTAAGACAAATTTGAAGATTACAACTACAGTATTTGGCAACGTTTTTCTGAAATATTTGTTGATACCGGTATAGTTTAAATGCAGATGTAAGTGTCAGGAATTACACATGAGGAAAAAGATACAATTTAAGGTAGAGATAAACATATAGTAGGTTCAAGAGAAAATTGGAGCCACTGCAGTTTAAATATTATCTGTGATATAATCAATGTCATCATGAAATGTGAGTAACCGAAAGAGCATATTCAGCACATGAAAATAAAATTGTGAATGTGTCTCGAGCAAACATGTCTCATAAGTAACTCTCACTTGGGTAGGTTACAACTTTGCCTATGCAACTCCGGAGAGATGGTAATAAGTTGCCAGATATATAATTTTATTCAAGTGAGCAAACGTTTTCGGTTATCAACTTTGTCAAGCTAAAGAAAAACATGAGAATAGCAAAATATAGCATATGGAAGGCTCAAAACATGGTTCCACAAAACAGAATGCACCAATAGGTGAGCAGAACAAAACGTAGTAGCCAATAGAAAGCTGGTAAATAAAACAAAGCATAAAACAAAGGAACAATAGAACAATGGAGGGAGGGAGCCTCCCTCCCTAAAAAAGCACTGGTAGGTGGGACAAAATATGTCAGAGCAAAACATGGCAAAATAATATATAAAAAAGAAAAGCCTACAAAATCATAATCATAATAAAAAAAAATAGAAATATATATAGAAATGATATGAAAAAAAAACATAAACGTCAGCATAGTATATGGTATAACATATTCAGTAAATGGGCCTATTTAGGTAGATATTATTGTGAGCAGCAGAGCGCAGTGAAATTTAATTTGATTAAATTAGAGATTATTGGGATAATAATGTGGAAAATCATTCACAAACCATTATGTTGTGATACGGCACGCCATGGAGTACCTTGTTTAGGTAAAACTCGTGTATTGGTATTGTGAAATGATTTCATACGAGTAGGCATGGACAGAAATATCATCATATGTGTCTGCCTCTCATTATTGTGTTTCCGCCAAACCCAAGACACAACAGTGTAGAGAGCTAAAAAAAAGTATATTGTATTATTATTATCGAGTATCTTGTATTGGTACTGCGAAATGATTACATGAGTAGGCGTACGATAAAAATATCATATATTTAGGAGTCACATTTATTTATTTATTTATTCACCTATCGGCCTACTCTAGCCTTAAAGAGATTTATTATAACATTAATAATTAGCAGTTATATTTTCATTTACTAGTGAATTTACTTTCTTTTGGAATCAATATTTTATCATGCTTTGTTTATTTTTTAGAGCGTTTGTGCGAAAGGACTAATTTAGATAAGCATCCGAATAATATTATAATTACTAACTATTAGCAATCATTGATGTGATGCCATGTGATGAATTATAGTGTAACGAATAGAGAAGTAATTATTTGACATGTTCATCAGCTGACCACTTGCTACACGCTAAACCTACTTATTGTGAAATACTGTTGTACAAACTAAAGAAATGAGGAATTTATTATTAAAATAACACACTTTCGGTTGTTCTACCTTTTCAGGTCGAGAACACCCCACTCCATTGCCACCAGGCGAGATCAAATGTCCAGCATGTGGAGTCGTTCCAAAGGCTTGCCATTTTCCCCCAGTACAAGTTTCAGTGGACATGAAGATAAAATCTCCACTGACCAACGAAATGATGTCATTAGATGACGCAATTATCGAATACATCAATCACTACTTTCCATCTTTGCAGCATTTAACTTACAGGGTCCCAGCTGCGTTGTTTTATGAAGCAAGAGGAGATTTAGATTTATGGACAAACTCAGATTTAGTTTCAAACACGGAACTTTCGTCTTCTTCGAAAGGAGCCATCAAAATATCACCTCTTAAAGTCGTTGACAGCCGATTTCAGAAAGACGCCGTGGAAGCAATCGTTTCCATTCTATATTCATGGGGAATTCAAAATAAACAAGTTATGTTTATCTTAAGCGAATATAAGTTTTCAGATTACTGTAAATTAACAAAGGCTGTAAAACCGACAAAACTTACCGGAGAACATGATATAGTTATTTTTCATCGAAGGCTTGGTATACTTTTAATTGAAGTTAAAAGTGTCTCTAGTGACAAAGCTTTCAAAACAAAACGAAGTAAAATAAAAGGTGCATGGGAACAGGTACTGCGCAATGAGATTGCATTTCGTGACATGAATAGTGGTCTTGGTTTTGTTAGAGATATTCCTTTCTATTATTTTATTGCATTTCCAAACCTCACATCGAGAGATTTGCAAGCGGTGAAAGTTTGTGATGACCATAAGAAACATATACTGTATAAGGACAATATTGTTTCTGTCGAAAATGTTAATGCAGTGCTAGGTAGTTATTTTGGAGATTCTTTATTACAAAATGACTCGAACGATGCAATGACGTCAATGCAATATGAACAGTTATGTGCGAGATATGCTGGTTTTGCCTCGGTCGTGCATGTCCGAACTATTGTAGACGCGGTCAGTAAAATAAATTCAAAAATGAATATTGCAAATATGAGTAATGAAAAAATGGAAAAGATATTTCTAAATCCAGAGCAGCTTGCTTTGATAAAGATGCAACATTTACGCAAAATAATTTTGACTGGAGAGTATGGAACGGGTAAGTCAATTGTTTTGAAAATGTTAGCAGACAAACTTTGTGAAAACAACTCAAACTATCTTATATTTATTGTTTCTTGTACAAACGTATCACACACTCGAACAATGGGCCGTTTGCGGAAATCAAAGAACCATTTAGTAGAGCACATTCGACATCTGACAAAGAATGCCGACACAGAGAATATTCTTATTTGGAGTATTTCTGATCTTGTTGGACACTGCTTTCCGACAAAGGATGTATTCAGTCAACGACTTTCGCCAAGGCTAATTTGTGATATAGCAAATTATCTTATTGATAAGTACCCAGATAGACAAGTCGCTCTTCTATTAGACGAAGTGCCTTTCGTACCAAGTTGGAACTGGAGCATATTAGAGACTTTCTGTCTTAGGAATGCTGAACTCTATTTATGGATGACCATCGCCACCGGAACCTACGCAATCAGGGACGATACCGACCCGTTGAGTGTCGTGAAGTCAAATTCACCCCGTGGTTTTCCCGTGTTACATCTCAAGCGATGTATGCGTATGACACGTAATAGTCTTCGCTTCTATAAAGCGTTACAGGAACATCTGGGTGATAAGGCCCATCTCTTTATGGAGTATGGTAATGCAATAGAAGGGCCAATACCTTTATGGTATGAACTACCCTATTGCAAGTGTAAGAGCAGTAACCCTTTTGCTTGCACGTGCATTGACTCGCGGATGGATCAAACCATCCACGCTGTATTTAATCAACTTGTCGATGTAAAGCCAAATCACGTAACCTTCGTGATACGAGATTCAGTACAAGATACTGATCAATTCTTGTCTTCGTTACTAGTAAGATCGTGCAAACGAATAAACATTCCTCTGCGATCATTTCTGCAAACATCGGTAGCGAATCAGTCTTCTGCAAATGCAGATGATCTACTTTCGTACGAACACGATTGTCCAAAACTTGTTGATATATTTAGTTTTAAAGGTTGTGAGAGTCCAGTTGTCATTTTCATCACGCCCTTTGGATGGCCGTTAGTTTGGGAACACAATCAAGACCGACACGGATGGGATGACATATCACAACAGATCTCTCGTGCTTTGGGACAGATTATTTTAATCACATGGCCAAAGAATGAAATGGATTATTTTAGTTTGCAAGCAATAAAAGTTACAATGGAGTCGTACTCACAAAAAAGGTATGACGAAAGCGATACGCACGAAAAAGAGATCGAAAAAGCTATGGAGTCTAATTTTCAAAAAGTTATTGAAACATATGAGCAAAAAGATAGAGAAGTGTATCTTAACAGTCTGGTCGAAAGAGGGGTGTTGGTGAAATTTCCCATTGTGGCTTCAAGTGATTCAGACAGTAATGTCACCAAGTTTTAGCCAACCTAGGCAAAATATGCATTGCTGCATTTGCTGGGAATATGAAGCAAAATTGTTGCAGTTACAGTAGATTATGCCAGATAACATTGACACAACGTGGTATAAACGTTTTCAACGTTATCAGTCAATAGAGACGTTCTGAATATGCCCACGTATTTATGAAGGCCTAATAGTATAATGGTTCCAATATATAAGTTCTATAGCGAAATTCCTTAAAGTAAACCAATTTTTATTATGTGGTTGACATTCACACAACTTTCAGTTTTGTCAGATAGACATGGTCTGTTTGTTGTTACTTGGGTCGTTGCTGGGTGTTACGTAACGATACAAGGTTTGACGTATATTTAGTGTGAGCCTCCCTATGAGTTTGTTTTCCTTCTCTGGTTTTTCTTTTATATTTTATTTTCGGATAGCCATATTATTAATATTTCCCAGTCTGGTATGTGCTTTTCTTTCAACATGTGATCCGTTATGCGGGATGTATTTATTCTATTTGATTTAAATTTATTTAAATTCAGCTTACGACATAAAATATTCAATATTAAGCAAAGTTGAGAGAACCATATGAAAGTACACCTATACTAGTTCATCAACTTGAACATAAAAACTCAATAATATAACATGACAATGCAATTAAATAAAAAAAAAATATATAAATTATACACACTGATTATGCATTATAATAAAACAATTTACAAAACACCTGGGTAACCCCTACTCTTCTCGTACTGGGTTCTTTAAAGTGCACATGAGCCAAATTATGTACACTGGGCCTTTGGTTTATAGTCCTTATTCGAGAATACTTGTTCTACCACCAGACCCATAGGGACTGTGCCGTTCGAACAAGCGCGAATATATCTCTACGGATCCGGCGCCCCAGCCTAGGCCACTAAGCCGCTAAAATAACCAAGACCAAACACTCAAAGGATCGAAAGTGAGCACCTTAGAGTTGCAGTATTTCAAAAGAGATTTCTTAAAAGCAGATAGGCCTAATTATATTTTTCACTAGACGATGCTTTTCTGCTGGCCGTTGTATTAACTGCTACCGGTATAGTATTGCTTTCCACATTTTATGCGCATTCATCGTTGTTTTTAGTGCTCTGCCAGTTTCTCCAATATAAACTTTGTCAGAATTCATTAAACCTGTTAATACACTACCCCAAATATATCTTCTTTATTAATTTTGTCTTTTGGTCGAAAACCGCATAATGTTCAGTTTTCGTTTTTTTTTAAAGTTCTTCTTTTCTTCTCCGAAAGATCTCTAAAGTAGGTAAGTCAATAGTTCCGGCTGTCGTTTAGTGGAAGATTCAGTTTCTTTTGGTTTTTCTATCTATTTCCTGTTGTACCTTTTTTGGTTAATGTTTTTATAATCTTTGTAAAGCACGATGTATGGTATTTGCTCCAGATTCTTTATCTTCCTTTGTTTTTTTTCTGAAAACTTATCGTTACGCAAGACCCAACAACCGGAGTAACAAGAAGCAGAACATATCTCTCTGACGAAACTACAAAATACAGAATACAAAAAAAAAAAAAAAAAAAAAAAAAAAAACCCATTGAAAACCTAAAAAAAAAAAAAAAAAAAAAAAAAAAAAAAAAACCCATTGAAAACCTAGCGACGAAGTTATTTTAACGTAAAATCATCCAATTTAGTCACAGCAGGCATTTAGAAATTAATTAAATTGGATTATTATTTGATCATTATTTGAATTCTTTACTTTGAAACAGACTCTACTTTGTACATCACAATTATAATGAACTAATTACAGTCGACGAGCCCGACAGATACAAAGCCATAGTGCAGTTCTGGTATACTGAACTAGGATTATTTACATTACAATTTGTAAGTAGGTTATTGCCGCCAATAAATAACGACGATAATTAGATCCTATAAATTGCAAGATGATTTTATAGAATCAGACAAAAGACATGATACCATTTGTATTTCATTTTATAAATAACAGACTTTAAAATGATAACAGATTCCACTCATTTGTACGGATATTCTTAAGCTCTGTCTACAGGATCAAAGTTCATGTGACAAGGATTAAAGTTCATGTGACAAATAAACGTGTTATGCACATATTCGGGTGACATCATCATGCCTCATATGGCCACTCACATTAAATTTGATAGTGCGGACACCGCTTTATCGCAAAAGAGTATGCGGTAAGTTTGAGAAGCGGTTTCAAGCGTCATTGTATACTTGTGTCTATCGATTGTTATGTTCATGTTATGTAATGTAAAATAAGAGCATGACCGTAGCAAAGTTCTTCCAAGGGGTGGGGAGCTCTCTGGGCGTGGGCTCAAGGTGCAAAGCCCCGGCGGAGTCAGCAGAACCCCCGAAGCAAGAGGATTTGTTTTTGTGTATTGGTCTAAATAATGCTATAAAAGCAGTTATGTTTGTATTTTGTCGGAGTCTGGCTGGGTGCTGCAGTGCATTGTTGGGTTTGATTACCTATTCCGGAAATAGAAAAAAAAGTGACGGGATTTGCTGGAAAAGGGGGTTTACACGAACCATAATCCCCATCACTTAGATACGTGCCTGAAGAGGCTCAACAAAATTTAACATGTAAGCTGGCAAACAAAAAAAAACAAACAAAACAAAACAAAAAAATAACAACGTTAAAATCAGAAGAATTGAAAGCAAATCAAGAATCCTATTTACGTGTTCAACGAGAAATCTTTCCTCTGAGGGCGTTCAATTAAGTTCCCGTTCATTCTGAATGAATTTTATAATAGCCACAAAATTAGGTACTCTAAGCTGAGTAACATTTAACACCCAAAATTAAATAAAACGATTTTATTGGGCTTAACTCATCGTCGATAATAGGACAAACATAGTAACAAAGTGTTCTGTAAACGTATAGACAGTGATTATCTGGTTAGGTTTATGTACTGTAAGTTGATAGTCTAGCCTATACTACATTATAGTGGTTTGTCTTAATTTCGTTCAATTTCTTTCATAGAATATCTAGGTGGTTGCGGGAATGCCTTTAAGGAAGCTAACGAATGATAAAAAAAGGAATGGGAATTAAAGTACATTTCTTTTACCGATGTATGATGTCGACTTTAAAATATAGACCTAAAGTGGATTTTTTCACTTTTTTTCAAACCGTACGAAATAATTATTATTTTACCAGGGCATACTAGTATTTTCAAGTAATAGAATGTTAAAAGCCCTTGCTAAAAGAAGTTTAAATTGTGTTTGCTCTTATTATTTCTGCAAAGCTTACCGTCGTCTTACTGAAGTAAATTAGACTTGTTAACGTTTAACGATTTATAGCTGACATTATTAAATTGATAACATTTAGTAATTTGACCAGGAACTTGTAAATAATTTTAATTTTTATATTTCCAAAATTCAATAGGACCTATTTGTACATTTTCAGATGTTTGTTTTATTGGTATTGAAATAATCATTGTGTTATTAAATTTAAATACTTAAATTTTAAACCATTGAATAATAATGTTGTTAGGTAATCATTAATAACGAATTCAAAAATGTTTAAATTGATTTTAATGATGTAAATTGTAATTTTTATTATCTTTCCATTTAATTTATATTGTCTTTCCATATTCTAGATTTTGAATTTTAATTTTTAATTGACTGGTATTGCATTGTAGTAATTTAGAGTAATTGTATATTATAGTTCGTTAGGTAATTAATTATGTTTATTTCGTTGAGTATGAATTTTAAATTTGTTATTATTTTAATGATGCAATTAATAATAAGAATATTCTTGTAGTTTTTTTTATATAGGCCTAATATTTTTTAAATTTCATTGTATAATGTGGCCTAATTTAATACTGTATCATCTTTTTATATAAAGCGCGTTGAAAAGAAATCAGTAAATGAGCTATATAAATAATAATAATAATAATTATTATTATTTACTTATTCAATAATTATTATTCAATATTAATAATAATAATAATAATAATAATAATAATTATTATTATTATTATTAGGCCTATTATTATTATTATTATTATTATTATTATTATTATTATTATTATTATTATTATTATTATTATTATTATTATTATTATTCTACCCTGCTGGTCCTACATAGTCCGATAAAGAAGACCAAATTGCCAACGTTTCCTAATCCCAAACATTTTTTTACACTTCTAATGAACTATGATGATTATGTGGAACAGGATATTCCCAGGACTTCTATACGAATAGGTTGACATTATTTCCTCCATCATAAATTTTCACCTGGAAAAATAAACCATACAACGGGAAGGCGATAATTCATTGGTGAGAGGAAAAATAATACAAATTAATATATCGGTTGAGGCTATGTGCAACAATCCTCATCCATCCAGTCCTTTTGTTGGGTTGTTCCGTAATACCTAGAGTTACGAAAAAAGAACTGGATGGTTAGTGTTGGAATTAGAAATAGGTTATCAATTTAGTGGATGTTAATAGTAGAATGAAAAAAAGCAAACAATTATGGTTTAAAGCAGGTTCATGATTGTAGTAAAAATAGAGTAGTGTCCCTTTCGTCAATCAAAAATTGACTTAGACCTATGCTATAACTGTACACGTTTATTCAGAAAACAGCAAAATATCTATATTCAGAATAGTGTACCACAATCTCTTCAATCATGTAATACGACATGTAATTTTAATACCGCTTTCTTGGGTCTCTGTTTAAAGTCATACCTCAGGGAGCATTAATATGACTGGTCCCTGCTTACCTCTAATAATAATATTAATTACACTATTGAATCTGTATTCAACACTAATTATTTGTAATCATCATTTATTTCATTCAAAACATCATTTTAAGTACAATTAGGCCTAAAATATTCAAAACAATGTAGGGTAAATAGGAACACAAATGTAGTATCATATCATATCATATCATGTATTTCGCCATTTCACTTAAAGCACATAAAACAATTAAAAAAAAAAGCAGAAACAGAAGTCAATGAGGCTGGATTACCTAAATATTATTACGAAAATAACAGTCTTAGAATTTCTCCACAATGAAATACGCACATAGAAATGAAAAACATGTAAGATAAAACATTAAAATTCAACAATTCGAAATACTTTAAAATAAAATACTGTACCTTAAAATTAGGTTAACATTGCATTATATAAATATATTTTAACCATTCGGTTTCAAAGAGTTTTTATTAATTAATAATTGGTCACCAATATCCACAGGCAGATCTTATGAAAATGTTAAAAACATAATTATGAAAGGAATTTGTCCGAGCTATAAAATAGTTACGTAACTTAAGATGATCAGAATGTCTTCGATTAATAGATATATTTTTAAACACTTCAACATAACTTATACATACGGTAACAAAATGTATACACTGGTATTTAATACGATTGCTAATGGAAATAAACGGCAAACGCTCTAGACGTTCAGGATAAGAGATTCTGCCTGTGGATCTCGGGAAGCATATCCGACTCTCCTTTGAGCATCAATGTCTTTTTTATGATATGGGATCCTGGAAAATATATCATAATCAATGTAAGGTCAAACTAAGGCAATATAAAGTAAAAACAAAGTTAAATTATGTCTTCGGAAGGAGCCATACCACATCGAGACAATAGATAAGTGCATTATTTAAAACTGATGACAAGATGTTCCTTTATTAGTTGTCGAACACTTTCGGCGTCCACCCCTACTCTTTACACACCGATTGTATGTTGTAAATACTTTTAATAGATATTTTCCATAAACTGACAGGCTTCAAAACAATGTTGGCCTAAAAGCCCCAACAAAAGCCCATTGAGTGACAATGGTTAAAGGATTGGTTTGACGTTTTCATAAATACATTAAAAAAATATTCAAGTTGTAGGAGTACGGTAACCGGAGTATTCTCGTGCAATATTTATGTTTCTTAAAATACCAAATCTGTCCTGAATTTTAGTGTCTTTGACCATTATTTTATACAACTACAAAGCGTCAAAAACTCTTTCCTCCTAGTTCAATAAGCCTACATAATCAGAGCTTTATCTGATAAATATGTAATGTAATAATACTGTATTGTTGAGTTAAAGTAAATGTTAAAGTTTAAGCTTATTCATTAAAATGAATTTGTTCAAAGAACTTTTTTTTGCAACTGTTTTTATATTGTTTATTGTTATCATCATGTCTTTTGGGCAGATTTCTGTTTTATAGGCCTAAACTTGAAAAAAAGTCTTGAACCTTGAATCTTGAATTATTTTTTCAGGTTTACTGTTATCATTGGTACCATTGAGATTGAAGATGCATTCTCTGTTACAAAATACTTTCATTACAATTTTTAATGTATCATAGATCCAGTATTAACGTCTAACAAGAAAGGGATCGTAAAGATATAAGCCTGTAATGTTTTTGAAAGAGGGCATTTCATAAGGTAATAAATCAAGTATACGAGCGAAGTGAGTATCTAGGCAGGGTCAGGGGCCGCCAAGGGCCCCCGGTCGTTTGGTAATTTGTATTAGTTATTTTATAGGCATCAAGCTACTGTAACATGACTTCATAATTGTTGTAGGTTTATTTTCCAAACAAAGTCGAAGTAGAAATTGCTTCCATGATCACAATGAATTACTAATCATGTGAGTGGTATCCTTAATAGGCCTATGGTATTCTTTGACGAAACGTTCTGGGAGCCTGGAAAGGGTACTTCAAGTGCATTGGCGGGTTCATGGGCATGGAGGCTAATTTAACTAAGGATCCAGTGAGCAAATGGTCTTTGATGAGTACTTCACATAAATGCAGAATTATAATCACGTACAGTAATATTAGCGGCTTCATTCAGTAGTTACAGGTATATCAACATCCATTCTGTTTTATTTTATTGTGAACTTAACAAATATTTCAAAGTAAACATAAAAGAAGATGACCTATTTATGTTATGCAACTTATGTTATTTTGTTTTGTATGTATTTTCTTCCGTTAGACATGAAAAAGAAAAAACATTTGTTTTTAGGCCTATGATTGTGCATGACGGATGATCAAATGGGCAACTATATGTGCATATTATGCCCATACAGTGTGATGTCCATTTTCGCAGCATCGAGCGAAGTTTCTTAGCTTAACAATTTTAATAGGCCTAAACTTTAATTGAACAAATATTCTACCTTGGTTACTTGTCCATCTCAAACCCCTGCCCTCACCCAGTACGAAAATACACCGACAGGTGGTCTGTACTAGAATGGAAGAAGATGTAAGAAGGCCCATACAACGGCTGAATCACAATACAGGGCAGCTGATCATCCAGGCTGACACAGACTTGAGAATAGCGCATTTTAATTGAACAGCTATTAAAGTAGTATTTTGTATTTTCAAACTAACTTCAAAATCTACTATCAATCACTTGCTTTATTCTTGCATTGATTCAAATACAAGGCCCATACAAAGGCAGAATTCGGAGGCCATACAAGTGAATGGGGGTCGTGTGTCGTTCTATCAAAATAGAACACTAGGTCCCTCACGATATATGCACAGAGCAGCTAATTTGAGGCGGACACGGACTTGGAAATAGCGCATGCGCAAAATAAGTTTTGTAAGGATGATAATGGTTCATGAGAGTTTACCAAACAATTCTACGTTAAAAAATGTGTGTGCCTACCTCCACCCTGGGCCTAATACACAATTTACGATTCCATTGTTTAATTCATGCTTGAGACGCACGATTTACAGACTTCAATAAATATGGTACACACTGATTGCTCAACTCAAAAAAAAAAAAAACATGTAATGTTTGTTTGAAAATGAAAAATATATATGTATAATAATATATGTATTATAAATCATAAGTTCGATTTATATGGCGAAAATAAACAAGGTCTCTAAGAACCAACAAATTGTTGACATTGTATAGCGTTTGTTAACAATGTTTGTCACTGGTGCTGGAAGCAGTCACAAAAGTGGGTGTTTAGGCCCTCAGTAGAAAAAGTGGAGGGCTTTCTTGGCCCCTCCCTTCTGCTGCCGTTGAAATGGGCCTATCGTACTTCTTCCGGACATCAGAACTGATTCGTGGATAACACAGTGCAAATTATTGCTTCTAAGAATTGTTGCAACACCGACTCGATCTGACCTTAATAATTATTATTTAAAGACAGTACAGTACAGGCACATTCTTACAGTATAGGATTATGTGGTTCAGGTTTACGATTCAGAAGAAACGTATGGAAGTGAAGTCCGGATGTACTTCAAAAGACCGACCGACTGGCGGATAACAAGGTTGTGAACTTGTTCTTCAGGATCACTCCAACCAATCACCTTATAAAGTTTAGTAGGATTGTCATGCACATGCGCTCATCAAGCAACTGAAGCGCTAACTATCGAGGGGTTTAACGATCAACAACTATTGCAAATTTACATGGAAATTACACCGGCCTCATAAGGCAGCTTTCATTGCAATCGGATCAGCTCACATAGTAATAAAAGTTATCAAATATGATACGTGTGTTTTGCTTTTGCACGATGGTTGTATCTGGAATAATGATTTGTGACGCAACTACGACCGCCGAAACACCAAGCGAATCAATATCAATTACAACCACCATTGCTAAAAAAAGTGAGAAGATAATCCATAGTTGTGCTCCTGTCTCTTATACACATCTAGATGTGTATAAGAGACAGGATATAAAAATGTGTGTGCCTACCTCCACCCTGGGCCTAATACACAGCCTAATATTCCATTATTTTATTCATGCTTGAGACGCACGATTTACAGACTTCAACAAATATGGTACACACTGATTGCTCAACTCAAAAAGAAAAAACATGTAATGTTCGTTTGAAAACGAAAAATATATTGTATTTGCTGCGAAGCAGTCAGTTTATATTCTTGACAGCAATTTGACCTCTGAAAGGTCATTGTTTGTCAAAAACAAGGGTCTAAGACGACTGAAAAGCGGAGTTTTCTTCTTTCGTTCTGCCGGGTAAAATCAATTACTTTAGGCGACGTTTGTAGACTAACCGTTTGTAGACTATTTCTACGTTTAATCGGCCCTTCGCAGCACTTCACTTGCAATTTGCAATTTCTAGTATAAATAATAAGTTCGATTTATATGGCGAAAATAGGTCTCTAAGAAACAACAAATTGTTGACATTGTAGCGTTTGTTAACAATGTTTGTCACTGGTGCTGGAAGCAGTCACAAAAGTGGGTGCCTAGGCCCCCAGTAGAAAAAGTGGAGGGCCCCCTTGGCCCCTCGCTTCCGCCGCCGTTGAAAAGGGCCTATCGTACTTCTTCCGGACATCAGAATTGATTCGTGGATAACACAGTGCAAATTATTGCTTCTAAGAATTGTTCCACCACCGACTCGATCTGACCTTAATAATTATTATTTAAAGACAGTACAGTACAGGCACATTCTTACAGTATAGAATTATGTGGTTCAGGTTTACGATTCAGAAGAAACGTATGGAAGTGAAGTCCGGATGTACTTCAAAAGACCGACCGACTGGCGGATAACAAGGTTGTGAACTTGTTCTTCAGTATCACTCCAACCAATCACCTTATAAAGTTTAGTAGGATTGTCATGCACATGCGCTCATCAAGCAACTGAAGCGCTAACTATCGAGGGGTTTAACGATCAACAACTATTGCAAATTTACATGGAAATTACACCGGCCTCATAAGGCAGCTTTCATTGCAATCGGATCAGCTCACATAGTAATAAAAGTTATCAAATATGATACGTGTGTTTTGCTTTTGCACGATGGTTGTATCTGGAATAATGATTTGTGACGCAACTACGACCGCCGAAACACCAAGCGAATCAATATCAATTACAACCACCATTGCTAAAAAAAGTGAGAAGATAATCCATAGTTGTGCTCTTGGCACGTAAGTTAAAAACGTCTCTATTACTTTTAGATGAAATAAAATTAAATAAATTAATAAATTAAATAAACTTACATTTTTTATAACAAGATAAGTGTACTGTACCTAACAAGTGAAAACCGATCAAAAAAAAAATCCAATTAAAATATTTATTCCCAATTTAATCGCAAGTTAATTTTGAATAGTATTGCTGACGGGAAAACGTATCGCTCCTAACTATTAAGTAGCATTACATTTAGTACAACACTTAAACATCGTCCTTTAAAACGGCAATCGTTTCCTATTGTATTGTTACTTTCTAGTATTTTTTACCTTTTACTTAAGTCTAGTATGATTAGATACACATTTAGTCCTAACGTTAAGTGCGAAAATATTATATAATTGTATTTATAATTTTATTATTCTACAAAAATAACTGTATTATTCGTTCTCAGAACCAAAATAAATAGTGGTGCTTCTGCTGATTGTATATATGAAAACGCCTCGAATGGTAAGTGTTAAAAGATGTTATGTTGTACTATACCGTAAATAATATAACAATAGTATATAATATTTAATTGTTTTTATTTCTACCTCATACTACAATACATTACAATGCAAGACTCCATTTTATGGCACATTGCGCTACACTGTGCAGCACTAACATACTAAAGTATTAAACTTGTACACTACAATATAGTATACTCTCTCAATCCTAAAGCAGACCTACCATAATATATTATACTACGCTTTACTGTTATACTATACACTATGTGACCGGCTATGGTAAAAACAACCGTGTTTCAGAAGGGAAAAAAAGTCAGCAATGATTTTCGATATTTTTTAGATTTTTCATGAATTCTTTATTAAAACAGTATTCATATGATGGAAATTCGTTGAGTATTAGCGAAATTATGAACATTTAATTCATTTTCATCTTTTAAGAGAACAACTTCCAGACATACCAAAATCAATAGTGCTAATAATATACCATTCCATCCACCATATCATCCACCATACCCTCCACATACCATAGGCATACACCATGTCATGCCATGCCATGCCACGCCACGCCACGCCACACCAAACCACACCACACTATAGCATACCATATCATTACTATACTATACTCTACTATACTATACTATACCATATTTTACTATACTATACTGTATCAATACATGCAGTCTCGATTTTTGACAAAAACAGGAAACTACCATTTCATATCGTAGCAGTGATGACATAGACACTACTGTTTTTACTGGCACTCCCATTCAATATAGCGAGCTAATACTTCAGGAAAATAGATTAACTTTATATTCCTACTTCCGTTATCATTATTCCATTATTCGTCTACATAACTTACCATTTTTTAAAAATAATATTTTAAAGACAAAATATTTTTACTTTTTAAACTAATTCCTTACATAATTATATTGTTGAAACATTGATATTATCTCTGTACTTACGAACTTAGTTGTAAGTTAGTTTAAGTGTGTGTTATTGTTATATTGTTTACAGTTGAATTCTTTTCATTCTTATTTCTTTTTAATTAATCTTGAATTAATACTTCATTGTGTTTGCTTCACTTAGGACCCTCTCCATTTTTTCAACAAGCCCCTTCGGGCTTCGTGAGGGTTCCTTTCTGTCTTGTTTCAATTTTCGTCTTTTAATTTTATGTATTTGCATTTTTGACGAAATAAAAGAAATAAAATAATAAAAACTGTATTTGTACATCTTATTACTGGCGATCACATTAAACATATTCATTTATTTATTGGGTGATACTACACCTTTGTATCGGTGGCACTTACAGTCAGTAATTGTTAAAATGTGTAATGGTACACTATGTATTGTAGCCAATACCAAGTCTTCTGTAGCTATTTTAGAGTTAAAATAAATAAATAAATATATAAATAAATAAAAAGAAAATGTTATCGCGACTTAAAAAACTCCACTGCCTAGGTCTGTGCATTTGATAATTATAGAAACAATCTCTCAATCATTGCAATCTCAATTACACTTTTTTCTCTAATTGCTAACTTGGGTTGATTATAAGAGGTGGCGATTATAATGCCTTAGGCCTACACCCGATCCTTAATATTCATATTCATATTGTTTTATATATTTGTATATAAAATGTATGTTAAGGGATGAGACTTGCTTCCATTACCAAGCCTCATATTTTAGACCTACTTCTTGGAATGATTCACAGGCAGAATGACAGCGAATCTGAGAATCGATTTTGGGTTCATATACCAAATTCAACATGGACATCTATTGGTAACTGGAATGATACTTACAGTCGATATTATGGTACCTGTGATCCGAAATACAAGCCTGTCTCTTATACACATCTAGATGTGTATAAGAGACAGCTCATTACTCTCTCGCCTGAGTATATTATTTGTAATTTACTAGATTGTTTGCAAATTATATATATATATATATATATATATGTATATATATATGTATGTATATATATTCTGTTTATGCATTAGAATTATGTATCTATATAATTTATGTATTATATACAAATATAAGGTGTATTCAAGCCTATAAGTATATAATAATTTAAAAAAAAATGTGGCCCGAAAGTGCAGCCAGAGTCTAGTGTTAGAGACGAATAATAGAAAAGTATGCGGCGCCGCAGTACCGTAAGTTGTGAACTACAGGGAAATTCATCAACATTGTCTCCCTCAGGTCTACCCATAAGTACAAAATGTTATGCAAGTACAAATGTTAAGTCCAAATGCCAATGCACTGATTGCATATTTGAAGCTAATTTGCGGAATATTTCCCCAAGGGATTTGGGTAATAATTATAATAATCCAAAGTCAAACATAGTGCCAAAGCAATAGAAAAGTTATTTATCTGGTCATTGGATCCATATTGACAAAATCCACAAGGTGAAACTTCCTACACTCCGGGGAGTCTAAGCCACTCTGTAGTGCAGTTTAATGCACTACGCGGAGCATACTAAGCCAAGCTGTTTAGTTCAGACGCGGACCAATGTAGTCAAAGGCCAGGAAAAATAGTCATCATTGCCTTGCCCAACGATTCAGTCGAAGCAGACAGTGGGAGATTCGAATCTCTAACTTTTATAATGAGATGAAAGCCCACACCAATATAACTCCTACCAGTGTAATACAGTACATGTGTTGTACCTCATCCACCTTAATTTGTAATGTATTTTTATAAAGATTGATTGATTGTTTGATTGATTGATTGATTGAAGAAAACAAATACAACAAATTACTGTACACTATCGCTATTTTACTTATTATTACTATTTATTTTATTTTTAAGATTAATTGTGTTATAATTTTCATTATTATTGACATTATCATTATAATTTTACTATAATAATAATAATAATAATATTAATAATTTTGTCATAATTATTAGGCTTAACTTTCGTTTTGTTATTATTGATTTATTATTTCAATTACTGTTAATAAAATATAAGCATAAAAGCGCATTTTAAAACTTATTATTGTTTATTATTATTACTATTATTTCTATAATAATTCTATTTTCTAATGTTAGTATCAGTAGTTAATACAGCTAAGGGATAATTCAAAATCCCAGACTTGAGTCACTATTCTCAAGATAAAATATTATTTTGTTCATCTTTCCGATATACATAATGCGGACACTGTTAATTATTCAACCACACGTGATAACATGGTATATTCATAATTCTTTGGCTACGTAGCCATAGGCTAGTGCTTCGTCTATGGAGAACAATAAATGCATAGATGGGTAATGTGTTTACCTTATGAATCGGATCAGAATAATAAATCCATTGTCACAACATAGCTGGAGAGCCTATTACCCTGCAAAACATACCGCAAAACGAAAAAAAAAAAAAAAAAAAAAGCTTGTATATAATTCTGCATTCTACGATGCAATATCGTAGTTTCTAATAAATTGGTGTTTTTAAAGTCTACTATTGAAGCTGTTTCATTTTTTTTCTATATTCTGTCGGAACACACGTGGAACACAAATGAAATATATAGAAATATATGTATATATATATATATATATATATATAAATCAAATTAAAAATAAAACTGGCATGTATCATCAAGAAAACCGATCATGTGAATCATGGATAGTGAATGTCATACTGCATGTCCAATGTACTGTATGTTATAGTACCTACCATCTACTGTACTGCACACTTAATTTTTTTTTTTTTTTTTTTTTCTCTCTCTCAGGATTATGCTTTCATTTTGGGGAAAACAAAGCCACATATACAGGAGCTTCGAGAGATTGTAAGGATCGAGGGATGAGACTTGCTTCCATTACCAAGCCTCATATTTTAGACCTACTTCTTGGAATGATTCACAGGCAGAATGACAGCGAATCTGAGAATCGATTTTGGGTTCATATACCAAATTCAACATGGACATCTATTGGTAACTGGAATGATACTTACAGTCGATATTATGGTACCTGTGATCCGAAATACAAGCAAGGCATAAATAGAAAAAATTGCCAGTTTTTGATGGCAAAAGGAAACAACACGAAATTAGTGCTGCGACTGATGAAAAGTGACCAAGACTGTAACATGAAATTAAAGGTTTTTTGCCAAGGTTTGTCATCTATATCGAAATAATTATCGTATTAAAGATACACATTGACTGCAGCGCCGCCATCCCAACGAAAAACATAGGCCTAACCCCCTACCCCCCACCAACAAAAAAAGCAATTATAACGACACAGGTTTCAAACATTCAATACCTGTAAGTCAAGGATCGAAAAAAAAAAGTTGCCAGTTACCGTACCTACAGAAATTTCACTACATAATACTATATATTTGCTGGCAGCTACGGTATTAAATTGGAAAAATACATTATTGATCAAATTTATATATACATACATAGGCCTACATACATTATATATATACATATATATATATATATATATATATAAAATGTTATTTAGAATTAATTGAAATAATGTGGACTATGTGCAACAAGAATACTTAATGATATTGATAACAACAACAAAGGTAATAGCGTAATAAAAATGATAATAGGCCTAATAATTATATTACTTAGCATTGACGGCAACATGTCTGATATTTACTGTCAACTGTCTAGCTAATCCATTTATATTAAATTTATTTCAAGGTAAATTATTGGACAATTCAACGTCAAATAAGCCTACTGGAAACCATGTGGACCCAACCCTAGCCATCATTGTCGCTACATCCGTGGGAGTTTTATTGTTACTAATCATCTTATTCCTCATAATAAGAAGTCTACGTAAAGCTTATACACACTCCCATGAAAGGTACATTCATCTTCCTCATTTTAAAATTAGGCCTAGCCTAAAAACGGTCATCATAATCATTTTCATCACCATCATCATCATCATCATCATCATCATCACCATAATCGTCGTCGTCGTCGTAGTCGTTATCGTCATCATCATCGTTAACTTTATTAACTTTCTTATAATATCATTATTTATGTCATCATTACTAGATCTTGATTATTATTAGGCCTATTTATATTGTTGTTACTTTTATTATTATTAGATTTTAAAGTTTATCTGTCTTATTGATTAGGCTGATGTGTACAGTATTTCAGCAATTCAAAAAATATAATCATCACCATACGGTAATGATTATGATAATGATGATAATGTGATGTCGTTAACGTCTATGATTATGATATGATTAAAATATAGATGTAAATGTAAATGCGAATAAGGCATAGCTCAATTATTTTATCTAGTATCATTACTCCACTCTATAACGTGCACATACATTGGTCTATTATGGTTGAAAGCATTAATTAAATAACGTTTAAGCTTAGACACGCATTTTAAAAGTGACAAAGTTGCCATATTAACGTTCATGAATCACAAATTATGATGCATACATATGATATTTTTCTCGTTGGAATTACAGAATGGAGAATGCCTCGAAATCTGATACATCACAAAATGAGGAAAGAAAAATAGGAAACAAATGTAAGTTAAACCACTAAAGAGAAACTACGGTTTACCGGAGAATATGTAAAGGGAAATTAGCAACGGGAATGGATTACCTTACTAAACCGCAAAATCAACTCGACCTTCATTAATTTATATACCGGTTCCAGAACCTAACATGACCTGAGTATTAATACGTGTAGAATAGCACTTTATAACTCTATTATCAAAGAAAGGTAAATAAGGTGTTCGAAAAAAGGACACAATAATACATCGTGTAGCATAGCTCTCAACGAATGTAGTCCTGTAAATAAATGAATAAAGAAATTGTGTAATAAAATGCCTTTGGCGGGACTCGAACCTGCGACCTCCCGCTGTCAAGGCGAGGAATTGTGTCCTTTATTCGAAAACTGTATTTACCTTTCTTTGATGATTTATATATAATTTAACAGTGTTAACTTGATTTATATTATATGCAACTATATATATATATATATATATAAATACACACATATATATATATGTATATATATATGTAAATCATCAAAGAAAGGTAAATACAGTGTTCGAATAAAGGACTGAATAAATACATCGTGTAGCATAGCTCTCAAAGAATGTAGTCCTGTAAATAAATGAATAAAGAAATTGTGTAATAAAATGCCTCTGGCGGGACTCGAACCTGCGACCTCTCGCTGTCAAGGCGAGTGTCATAACCACTAGACCACGGAGGCTTCATGGTTGAACAGATTCAAATACCACCAGATACACTCTATTACACAATAGGTACGGCTAGAAACAAATAGGTGTTATATGTATATATATATATGTATATATAAACAAAAATAAGAATAATAACAGTGACAATGATAACAGTTACATATATACATAAATGTATGTATATTATGTATATATATACATATATTATGTATATATATATATATATATATATATATATATATATATATATATATTAGGATAATATTTTATTCATTGTGCTTTTTGTTGTAATTTTAGATGCAGTGTCAAAGGGGCATAAATGTGACACGAATGAGGATAATAAAGAGAAAGAATATGCTGACTATGCCGAACTTGATGACGGTAGTATTGACCTTGCAAATGATGTAGATAATGACAATGATGACGTAGTAAAGTCTGACGCACTACCAACAACTGCGCATGCAAGCGCACAGGAAAGTGGAGGCGGCGAACCTTCTTATTTCGTATTAAACAAGGAGCCATCCGTGGAGTCGTTGCATACGTACGAGGATTGTGCTTTCAAAGGTGTTTCCACAGCATCAACACTACCAATGGGATGCAATTATTTAGTTCAAAACCGACCCGCAGGCGATGCCGACGAAAATGTGTATGATTGGCCAGATTTATTGCAACCCACCAATAATTACACACCGAAAGCAAGAAGGACGCAAAGTGAAACAGAGCCTCAATATTTTTCGCTTGAAATTGAAGAAACTGATGAAGCAGAAAATATCTATGACTCTGTCTTCCCTGTAGATGAACCTCTCAAGAAACCCCTAAAAGCCTCGCGTACAAAACATCTTTCACTTCAAAGAAAGAAACAAAAGAATAAGCACCAAGGACATGTTAAAAGTCAACAGACTGGTGGAAGTCGTAAATAATCCTCTTTTGCAATTCAAATTGGTTTTCGTTTGTGATAGAACTATTACCGGTGACAGTATTATTTGTAAATTACTACACTGTATCTGCATTTGTTCAACATCATGACGTTTCTACTAATGATATTCAATACCAATATTATATATCAGCAAAAGCGTCGTCATCATCATCATCATCATTATCGTCATCATTGAAATTCACTTTAATATCATCATGTAAATTGCTGATTAATTATCACTTTATCATAACACCAACCTCTACTGCATATCAATTGCTTCCTCAAACTTTCAAATTACTTAGCTCTTGGGTTTTAGCTGCATCGATAAGCTTCTTTCAATTATCATATGCTGACTTTAGGAAAACTATACGATCATTGGCATAATAAAGTAGTCATTAAATTTAACTTCTATCTCATATTACAACAAACACAATTCGACCCATATAGCTGATGTTGATAGCGTGAGAGTCGTCGACTTGACCTAAACCTATTTGTTGGCTGTTATACATTTTACTGGCCCGTTGATGAGATGTCTGTGTATTTCTAAACAAATTAACATTTATTATCGAGTGGTGATATCAAACATATCTACACTTGTTACAACAGTATAAATGTGTGTCAGGACTTTTAATTGTTCGTTAATGTGTATTCTTTCTTTGCAGATACGCAGCGCTTCTTTCCAATTTTATTGGGTCCACATACGTAGGTTTTGCTGTTATAATTTGCGCAAGCCATCCCTACATTAATATACTCATCCTCGGTGAAGAGAGGCAATGCAACGACACGTCACACGCAAAATGCACAGCGAGATATTGAAAGCCGACCTCAAGGTTGGGAAATAGACCTGTTCCCACTACGCCAAGCATACTAGAAGATTCTTAGTACTCCTTATGCTATAAAAGCGGAGAAAGACAATAAACTGACTTACCACTACGTCATCCGACCTTGTTGCACAAGAGTCTTATCCTCGTATCAAAATTAATAAAAGTTCTGTATGATCCTAGATAAAAGTTTCACTCTTACCACCATTGTGTTTTCTGTACCCCAGCACTTAACACTGTGGAATGTTCTCTATGAATATTAAATGTACAGCAGATGTAAGCATCGTATATAGAGTCTGTAGCATTATTAAGAAAAGAACTAAAGCATATCCTTTTGCCCCAGAATAGTTGAAAATTGGATTGGATTGCATTTATTCGGTGTAAACACCAAGGATAACACAGGAAAGTCTGAAGAAGACTTATTTCCAATGGGGTCTTTCTGGTGGTGATTAGGCAGTACACCGGGAGACAATCCCCTACTCTTTTCCGAAGGGTGAACTGCGTTCTGTAACGTGTACATGGGCCATGCACACAGTACCAACGGCTTAGGCGTCTCATCCGAAAGACGGTGCGCTATCGCGTAAATTTGCATGCATTTCAGCCTTCTATCTGAAATACAGGGAGCAGCGATGGGAATTGAGCCAGGGACCAAGAGATCGCCCCAGTTCTGCTCACACACAGTGTGGCTACTACCAGTTTCGACGACTGAGAGCTAGTCTGCTCTCTAAAGTTTTGTAATTACTTTTGTCGAAGCGCCTTTCAAACAATTTATTATGGAAAGTGAGCTTTTAAAATATTTTGAATTGATTTATTTATTTGCTGTTGCTCTTAAAACTGAGGTATTTGTAGAAAACTCTGCTCATCATCGATGTAACACTAACAACAATCCGTTTTCTAAATATGAGTTTCAACACTATATAATTTGAAAATGTATACTAACATGAACTTAACCATTGAAACAAGCAAAAACTAAAACCACAGTTATAAGCATAGAGAATAATATTGAAGGTAAATAAGTGTTCGTTTTCCACTTCAAGTATATAGTAATGTTATCTTTTATGTGATAGGCCTTATGAGGTATTTGCATAATATTTTTATTACCCTATAAATGATATTATGGCAAACCAGTAATGTTAGTAAGGATGTGGAATCTGTTCTATGACTTCGTGTAAATATTGTTTAAGTAATTGTTGTATGTTTAATCTATTGAAATAGGCTATTATATAGTCATTACATTTTGCATTTAAATTTTTCTATTTCAAATTTTCCATTAGGAATTTAATTGAATACTTTACTGAACGATTATTGAAAGTGCCTTATTGTAAATTTAACGTAAGAAGTTGTGTTAATGACGGCTTGTTATGTTTCTACAGTCCTATTGGAACGTTTCTACATAACATTTCCCATACGTCATTTTTGTTGTACATAATGTCTCCTATTGAACGTTAAAATTTGTGTTTCAGCAGCTGTTACAGTTTTGTTACTAAATAAAAAATAAAACAATGAAATATATTGTAAGATTTAAAAAAATTAATTTATTAAACGCTAGCTTTTTTATGAATTGGTTAACTTTTTTTCAGAATCTTTGTCTGCCTATTTTACTATATAATTTTTTTACATGAGGGAACACGTATTAAAATTACATCATTGTGTTAACGTCACTCAAACAAAAGGATGATATGCTCAGATAACAACATGTTGAATGCATTACCGGTACTGGCACGTCAAGAAATCTATACGACTAATTAACTGTTTTGTATAAAATTGGGCAGATATTTTTTTTCAGGCAGGACCCATACCTTTAATAACATGTTCGTGATGATTAGTGCGAGCGCACTTTAACCCTAACATGAAGTATAGACAAATTCTATTTTATCAAAATCAACAATTAGTTGATAACTTAGAGAATAATCCAGCTGTCTTGTACTGTACATCCCGAAACCAACAATATGGTATCGAAACTAACTGGATGAGTGTTCCGTCTGAACAATAAGAAAACGGATACAGCAGCGGACAGCTACTCCGGTCGACTGATGCAATTCCAAATGTTGGTCGAATAATGAAATGATATACAGTATTTGAATAAACTGATTTCTTTATTTACTTCTCGTAATATTAGTTTAGTCGCAGTTGACTTGAATATGTCATGTCCTAAAGCCGAGCAAAACATAAAAAAATAAAAGAAAGACACGGATGTGACTCTTTCTGTTTACAAAGTATACATAGGCCTATGTGCTGATCCATGAGCTTCGCTAGCAAACGTTTGAGAGTGTGTAATAAGTACTGACAGTATTATACAAGACGCTATTCAGAGATATGCTGAATTGAAGTCTCAGCATATCTTTAGAATACCGTAAATAAGCCTGTAGGCTAACTAACCAAAGGCCTAAACTTCAGTGAAGAAGATAAAATATGAGCATACCAGTACTAGTATATGTTATTGAAACTTCATAAACTAAGGTCAAGGCAAGATAGTATAGTTTATTATGTTTGTTTTAATGAAACACGCAAGTTGAACGGATGCTGGTACAGAAATTAGTTGAAATACAATACAGGGCGTAGAATATCACAGCTCCCCACGGCCCAACACCACTCTCACCGTAGCACGAGTAACACATGTAGAAAACAATACATTCGGTTATTCGACTGGTTCATTTCGTTGAGTACGAATCCTCGTAAAGAACTATTTTCATTCGACTGGGTCGTAAAATAGACTTCGCTGACAACGAAAATTAACGTAACCAGAATGCGTTAATCAGCGTTACGTTATGCACGTGACCAAAACAAATATGGCCGATTGGTCGGTTTATCAACAACATTTTGAGTTAATATAATTTAGATTAAAATTCAGAAAATAAAAATTTACCCACAATGAAGTCAAAAAATAATTGTAGGCTAACAAAATTCAAAAACTGGATGAAAACATTTTTTTTTTTACGAAAAACCCATACTGCCACAATCTGAAGCAGCTTGATTACGCAGCGTGTATCGCGGTAACTATGCAGCCATTTTGTTTTGTCGAGTATTTACAGTTTTCTATTCGACTAGTCTTCGTTAAGTAGGATTGTACTACTGTGCAGGTGGGCGTGGTTTAACGAAGAACGAATAGTCGAATACGGCCAGTGCGTGTAATCTAGAGCAGTAGAGAGCCGGGTAGAGAGACGCGCACTGAGACACAAACGCATCCATACTGTACCCAGACACGTGCTTATGTGTACTAATTTTCACGCAGCTTTCTCCCTATAGTATGTGCACATCAACCACCACATAACACACGCGCACATACACTCTGTACTTTATTTTTCAATTGTTCTATTACATTTTGTCTCTCATAAGCCAGGCATGGCTGGTCTTTTTTTGAGGGTGAGACTACTTACTATACAATACAAACACAAGGAAATCCGACAAATTATAAATGTTTCTTTTGTAAGCACGTGCGCGCTTGTTATTATCAACCTAAAATAATTTAGTCTATAACATGCACGGACATTGTACTACATTCCTACAGAAACTTGATTTATATTAGCCATATATTACCACCAGTCCTTATGAAAACAATATAAACTTAATGCAAGTCTTTGTTTATATGTACAAAAAAAAAATAAATAAATAAAAAAAAATAAAATAAATAAATGTGACCGAAATTTTTTAAATTTTAACATAACAACATATGAAATTCAGTTCAAATCAGTGATGTCGCCAGGATCTGCCAGACCGAGGAAATGTCGAGCATTAATTTAAAGCTTGGAATCAGTGCCGCCAA